CCACCCCAACGTTCTTGTACATAAAAATACAGCCATGCTCTTTCCACGTGTTTCCTGAACACAGCCCATCTCCAAAGCTCTGGCGTCCTATTCATAATGGCATATATCTGAAATCAGCCACTTAATGTCACATCACGAAGGACCTTTTCAATGGCACATCTCAAATACAGCCAATCTGCAGCAGCATGTATCTAATTTTTTATTCGACTCTTTACTGGTCGGCACAACCTTTTCGGTTACATGCCCCTGTTTATTTATGGAAGACATTTCTAAATGTCTATTCACTGTAGCTCGATGGATGGTCATAGTGTCACGGTTACCTAAAGAGTTCTTCTGTTTTAGTAATCGTGATACAGCATAGTTTTAAAAATATCACATCGAATTAAATGAACGTGGTTATGGATTGCTGCAAAGTTGTTCCATAACAATTTTTTTATGAAGCATTGTTTCATGAATCACTGCCATTCCCAACTATCCCTTGCTAAGATTTCTGTATCCAATATTGCAGCCTGGTGTGACAGTGAAACATTGCAAGGAGGGAACAGAGAGTTCTGCTTTCTGGTTTGCTCTTGATGGAAAACAGAGCTATACAAGCAAACCCATCATGCAGGATACTATTGTCAGAGATCCTCATTTGTATGCCTTCTCAATTAGGAAAGGTTAGTCATTGTAGATTTCTTACTTTGACTTCTTTGCTCATTATGTCAATATCTATATGGTACATGTACTTGTCCTAATTATCTTTTGTTGCTTGGTTTCATTCATGGTAACATGGTCATCAATTTACCATTGATCAGGGAGACTGGAGGTATTCCTCTTGCCCTTGATTTTCCTAAATTAGACTTGCTTATAGCAATTCAGGGTATGTGATGTCAATGAGCTTCGGCAGGTTACCGAGATATTCAATTTTTGCCAAGATGATTTGTTGACTGAAGACTTGATGATTCTTGACACACACGGAGAGGTCTTTATTTGGATTGGTCAGTGCGTGGAACCAAAAGAGAAACAAAAGGCGTTCGAAGTTGGCCAGGTGAACTGAAGCTTTGACCTTGTTATTATAGTTTGCTGTCGTTTTACAATCAACACTTGATTCTTCTTATACCTCTTTACCACAGAAATACATAGAGCATGCGATGTCGATTGAAGATCTTTCCCCGTATGTACCACTTTACAAAGTCTCTGAAGGGAATGAGCCATGCTTCTTCAAGACATACTTCTCTTGGGATAACACAAAATCTGTGGTATGCTGTCGGATATCTTATGCTGCTATATCTTTGTGTGCTATTGTCTATTATTAATTTATAGTGATGATATGATCTACTTAAGTTAATTAAAGTGAAAACCTACTGAACAGTTGTGGTTTCATGTACTTCTGAAGGCAGTCTTCGTTGTAGTTCTCCTTGTTCACTTCTACTTGTGTATGCTATTCGTGTTGTTTATTCTGTTAGCGCTTGTTATGGGCTATTAACAGGTATCTTGTTTTGTGCAGATTCATGGGAATTCGTTCCAAAAGAAACTTTCACTTCTTTTTGGATTACGCTCAGAGGTAATTTGGGTAACACTCGCAGCATTGCTTGGATGTATAACAAGTATAGTATAGCTGAATTGCTTTTACAGAATGAACTTCATAAACCCAATATTTAGACAATTGATCATGCTGTAGTACATGATACAAATTTCATGAATTCGTTGGAGATGCAAAATATAGAGAATATAATAGTAGCATGATATTGATGCCATAATTACTTTACAGGGTGCATCTAGGAGCTCTGGTAATGGTGGACCCACTCAAAGGGCATCTGCATTAGCAGCTCTATCATCTGCATTCAATCCATCTTCGCAGCCGAAGCAGGTAAATGCTCAGTATTTTCTCTACCAAAATATTATGAGTGATTAATTAACTAGGCAATCCCTTCCAGGCTAATGATAGTAGGCCTCCAAGCTCGGGTGATGGACCCACTCAACGTGCCTCTGCACTGGCTGCCTTGTCCTCATCTGCATTCAATCCAGCTCCGCAGCAGAAGCAGGTAAATGCTCAATATTCTCTCTACCAGAATATCATGTTATTAACTAACTAGGCAATCCCTTTCAGGCTACTGACAGTAGGTCTCCAAGCTCGGGTGATGGACCCACTCAACGTGCCTCTGCACTGGCTGCCTTGTCCAATGCGTTTAATCCATCCTCAAAACCAAAAACTCCACCTCCGTCACGTTCAGGTCAAGGGTCACAAAGAGCAGCTGCAGTTGCTGCGCTATCCTCTGTGCTGACTGCTGAGCAGTCTGGATCATCTGAGAATCTCAGAGCTAGCAAGACGAGCACAACATCAGAAAAGACTGGTACAGCCATACCCCCCTTTTAAATTTCATCTTCTTAGAGAACAATAATGACTTGTGGATTGTCCGATTTGTGTTTTCTGTAAAAGTGTTCCACCAAGACTTCAAAACAATTGTGCTCGTCTCTCTGCAAATAACTTTGGAATAGTGAATGCATGTCCACTGTGCTGTATATTTAATTTGCTGGTATACTGGAGTAACTGCGTGATGTTCACCAGACTAGTGGGGAGATCCATAGATGAAGTGAGCCCTTATGGACTTGCTGGTATTTTTGTTTTTCAAAGCTTGCTACCTTTAATCATTGCAGAAGCGGAGGTCGTCGTAATATCTCCAGCGGAGGCATCTCCTCGCTCTGAAGCTGGGGAATCCTCTGAATTTCAGTCAGAGAAAGATGCTGCAGTGCATGAGGTGCCACCTGAGGTAGATGTAGCACAGCCTGCGGCGCCGGAGGTGCCAGAGGAACAAGAAACTGAGCATGTTGGTGAAGCAACATTTAGCTACGACCGCTTGATATCTAAATCTACTGATCCTATCCGCGGGATAGACTACAAACGCAGAGAGGTTTGTTCTCGAGAACACTTTATATCCAGAGTCCACATGTACTGCTAGGTTATTCTTCCGAAGCACTTTTTAGGTTTGCTGGTTTAGCGTTGTTTCTTAGACTAGGGTTAAGCTTGTTTAGGTTGCAGCTGAATTGCTGATGTTTTTGGCTGTTGCTTCTCTAGGCGTACTTATCGGAGAGCGAGTTCCAGACTGTCTTCGGCATCACCAAGGACGCGTTCTACCTGCAGCCAGGGTGGAAGCAAGAGCTTCAGAAGCGGAAAGCCGACCTCTTTTAAATAAGCGGCTGCTTCCGGTTCTCCCGCAGAATGAGATCAATCAATCATGTGCTTGTTTTTATCCCTCTCATCATGATTGATTGATTGGCACGATCCATTGCTGGTCATCTTTGTGCGAACGGCTACCTGTGGCTTTGGTTGGTTGGTTTTGTGAATTTTATAGGTCATTCTTTCGTTTGTACATGGACTGAGTGCTGTGCTGTTTGCAAGGTCCTAATATGCTCTAGCTTGTTTTGTGATTGTCCATATGTGTATGGTTTTTCTCGGTTTGTTTTATTTACATGTTTATGGGCAGTCTCCCTGGGTATGTTTTGGAAGGTCGTCTACACTGTCATTCTGATGTACCACGGACAATTATGTTACCTATAATGTCTAGTTGTGCTGTTGAAGATTTTTGCAACTGGGAAAGAACCCTCCATCAAAATTATTGTCCATTCTTCTGAACAAGCCTGCATGTCTTACAATTAAGGAAGACATGCGGGCTCATAGAAGCTCCCATGTCAAACCTTTTGTATGTTCAGTTCAGTTGTGTTTTTGATTAAAAATACCACAAAACCACAAGTCATGGAGTTGGTGTTAACTGCAACAGACTCCCTCTGTAAAGAAAGGAACGCAATGCATTTAATATAGTAAATGCTTGGCATATATTCAGCTAGAGCATTTGATACAAACTTTGGAAATTGGCTTAGCCAATTATCAGAACAGGCAACTTCAATATAAACGCCTCTGGCTGCTAAACTGTGAGCTGCTACATTACAGCTAAAGTGTGAGTGGCTATGTTATATTCACGCTTACAATGCACTATGACATGTATAAGAAATTTAACCTCTTTAAACAAAGCGCCTACAGTTTACAGTTCATATTCATCACAAATACTCCCTCCATTCCAAATTAGTTGACTCAGATTTGTCTAGATACGGATATATCTAGACATGTTTTAGTGTTAGATACATCCGTATCTAGATAAATTCAAGTCAACTAATTTGGAACGGAGGGAGTAATAGTTTGCATTAGCACCATGCAATCTGTTTCAAACATCACCTTTTGACAACCCATTTGAATAGCAGCATGCATAGCTTGCTGAAAGCTAAAAGTTCAGCATGCAGCAGGTTTGAAACATGCTGCAAGTTACCTGCTCCTTGATTTTGGAGAGGTGTGCTTAATAGCACTGCTCGGTTGTAACTGATAGCCTAAATGAATGGTGGATCTCACATTTATGTCGGTGCATTGTGTCGATGGCCAATGGGCAATTGGCTAATGTCGACCAGGACCAAGCTTGACCATCTGCAACTAAATGAGCTCAAATGTAGGTCTGAATGGTCAAGCTATTTGCAGATCAGGGTTTTGGGTTTGAAGCGAATTTGCGCAGAAATGGGTCAAAGCAGTGTTGGACTCGAAGTACTTGGGCATGGGCGATTTGTGTTTGGTTTTCTAGCAAAGCGCCTTTGGACATCAATATTCTCGTACCCCCACCCAAGGGAAATGAATAGTATGTAAATCCATGAGACTTCATGTAAAAACAATGTAAATCCTGGAGACAATATATGGAAAGGGATTGTACCGAAAACAAATACTCTCTCCGTAAAGAAATATAAGAGCATTTAGATCACTACTGAGTACAGACCAAACACGGAGCACACACACCCATGCATTGCATAGGAACACAAATGTTTGTCACTCGAACACAGAAACTCCTTACCACTCCGCATGAGTGGTAAGCTATATCAAAAACGATGAACACAAACTCCTTGATCATGCAGAGAACACGCTGACGGAAGCAGATACGACTAGCTCATTTCGCCAAGGACGAGCGAGGGAGGGAGACTGTCTAGATGGTGCCGCCGTTGCAGCGCAGCACCTGGGCGTTAACCCACCCGCCGGCGTCGCTGGCGAGGAAGCCGACGAGCGGCGCGATGTCCTCCGGCAGGCCGAGCCGCCCCAGCGGCGCCTCGGCGATGTACCGCTCGGCCTCCTCCTCCGTCTTCCCGTTGTAGAACATCGGGGTGGCCGTGGACCCCGGCGCCACGGCGTTGGCGGTGATCCCCGTGCCCCGCAGCTCCTTGGCCAGGATCCTCGTCATCGTCTCCACCGCCGCCTTGCTGGCCGCGTACGCCGCGTACCCCGGCCGCAGCGACCCGACCCCCGACGACGAGAAGGTGACGATGCGGCCCCGCCCGTCGCGCGCCAGCCGGTTGGCCGCCTCCCGGAGGCACAGGAAGGTGCCCCGCGCGTTGACACCGAACGCGGCGTCGTACGTCGCCTCGCTCGTCTCCGCCAGCGCCGGGTACGAGTAGTCCAGCACCGCCGCCGTCGTGACGAGCACGTGCAGCTCCCCGCCGAACGCCGCCGCCGCCGCGTCGAACAGCGCCCGCACCTGCGCCGCGTCCGACACGTCCGCCTCCACCGCGATGGCATGGCCGTCGCCGTGCGCCGCGTTGATGCCGGACACGAGCTGCTTGGCCGGCGCCGGGTCCCCGACGTAGGCCACGGCCACGCGCGCGCCCAGGGCCGCCAGGTGCTTCGACACGGCCGACCCGATGCCGCCGGCGCCGCCCGTCACGATCGCCACGCGCCCGTGGAGCATCAGCGGCGCGGTCACGCCGCTCGCGGCGCCATTGCCGTTGCCGTTGCCGTTGGTCTCGGCCATCCCTGCGCGCGTCTCACAGTGGGCGAGCGTGAGCTGAGCAAGACGAAGGACAGGGAGTGCATGCGTGTGTTTGTTGCAGGAGGCAGCGCCACGTATATAAGGTGGAGATCGCTCTACAAAAGTAGAAAAAAATAGAGTGGGGCAAGCACAATCATATAGCGAATTGAATTACAGAGGACGTACTGCTGGTGCAATGCTGTGCCCATGCGGAGAGCGCAGAGATTTATGAGGGTGGGTATATGTCCCAAATTTAGCATGGACTAGCAAATCTACTGTAGAGTTCTAGGTTTACAGTCTATATTTACGTATAGACTGATTTCTAGAGTACAACTTCCATTGATGAAAAGTACAAATTACATGCAAAATAGTGTCCCTCCGTTCATAAATATAAGATGTTCTAACCTCTTTTTTTTCTCCTGAATTGAATGCATATAGACTTCTTGTTTTAGTGCATTTGTTCACCCGTTTCAGTCATATGTAGTCCGTATTAAAATATGCAAAACTGCTTACATAAATGTAAACGAAGGAAGTGCAACTTAGTGAAAAGTACAAGTTGTAATGTTGGTAAATTGAAACTGAACCGACTTTGACATAAGAAAATGTCATCCAACTTAGATGATGAAGATGTCGGAACCGGATCCTCTAACTTAGAGCATCCTCAACAGCCGCCCAACGCGTGGTGTGCTAAAAAAGCGTTTGCAGCGCGTTGATCGTCTGTTTTTACGCGGCACGAAGCACTGACTCTAGCGGCCGTTGTAAAGTTTAGCGCGCGCGAGTAGCTCCAGCGGGCGCTGCAAAAATACTGCACGCGCGCTCTCGCACAAATAATATATGCACTCCAAACACAACCAAGAAGATCAACCGCAAACAAAATAAATCAACAATAAATAGTTCAATTCCGTTATTACAACTCAAACAAATAGTTTATCTTTCACTACAACAAATAGTTCAACATTACAACATCAAACGCACAAATCATGATGCTCTTTGTCGGCCATTCCATGCCCACCACTCCTTGATGAGATCCTTCTGAAGATCATCATGCGTTTTGGCACGTCGAATGGCATGATAGGAAGCAACAAAACAGGCCACCCTGGCAGCCCTCCGCCGCACTCGCACGAGATGTCCCAAGAGCTCATAGTGAGAGTAGTCTAAATCTTGGCCACGCTTATTCTCGATGATCATGTTGCGCATGATCACACAAGCGTGCATGATGTACCAAAACATCTTTTGATCCCAAAATCTAGCCTGTCCTCCCACAGTAGCAAATTGGGCTTGTAAAATCTCAAAAGCTCTCTTCACATCTTGTCTAGCCACTGTCTGAGCATTGTGGAAATCAAGATTTTTCTTACCTTTCGGTTTTTTCAACGGCTTCACAAATGTTTGCCATTTTGGATAGATGCCATCTGCAAGATAGTAGCCATAGTTGTATGTACGGCCATTTGCTACAAACTGCACTAGTGGCAGTTAATCATTTGCAATATTATTCATCAGTGGTGAATGATTAACAACGTTGATGTCATTCAAAGATACAGACATTCCAAAAAAAGCATGCCAAATCCAAGTCTCTTGATCGGCTACTGCTTGAAGGATTATAGTTGAACCCTTTTTTGGGCCATGGAATTGGCCATGCCATGCGAGTGTCCAGCGCGCGGGAGCGGGCGCAACAAATAAATGGCACGCGATGACGTTTCGGTCTGCGCGCTGAACTAGTTATGCCGCACGCGCGGTTTTTGCGCCTCCGCTGGAGCGCCCGGAGCGGTAGCGCGCGTAAAAACCACTAATTTTTCAACGCGACGGTTGTATAGCGCGTCCGTTGGAGATGCTCTTAGAGAAGGAAACTCACGATGCTGCACTGCAAGCCTAGTGTAAAATGAAGAAGAAAAGTTAGAGACTGTTAGCAGGTTGTTTACTGTTGGTATTTTTACTGTACATATACATGGTCTATAATTAATTTTATTTCAACATCAATTTGTTTGTATGTAACTATCTAAATGTACACAATAGATCTTTAATTTGTAAATCAATTTAAGTCATTTTAGCTTTATCATATGGATTGAAAGAAGGCATGGATTGAAAGAAGGCAAGTCAGGATACTTTAGGTTCTCTAACTTTCTTTATGTATGTTAATTAGCGGATCCAGATCGGTCATGTCATACGAAGTTTCTCGAGCAATACTTTAAGTTTTAACATGAAGTGTTATGATGTTTTATATAACGAGGCTAGGAAATTATGGTTGTGACATGATGATTAATGTTGCCACAATTTTGAATTATCCCATCAACCTATTTAGCGACAAAGACCTCTCTCTATGATTCTCAATCTCTCTTCCCACCTAAGGGCATCTCCAAGACAGACCCTCAAACCTCCGCAAGTATCCGGACCATGGTGTCTAGACACACTTTGCCATCCAATGCGATCCTGCATCGGTCTGTCGAGCGGTCCGAACGTACCTTTTCCGGCAAATCTGAGACAAACGTAGGAGAGTTTTGCGGGAGTCCGGACATCTGCATGACCAACAAAAAGCCGCCACATACCGTTTCTACTCTGCGTCTGCCCATGATGACTAGTATTTAGCGAAATGCAATGTGCTATACAGCGGATAGCTAGCATTTTGGCGGAAGGTAGTACTGAATAGTATAATTCATTTGGTGGAAGGTGCTAATTAATATTTTTATTAAACAAATTAGCCAGTTATTTGACTGGAAGGTGCTCATTTCATTTGGCGGGCTTCCGCCAATGGATGGCATGCTTGTTAGCCTGGCTTAGATTTGGCGGAAGGTTGGCTTCCGCCATGATGGTGTGCTTAGAAGCCTTGTTTAGTGCTTGCTTAATGCTTTTAGTAGGTTTATTTAGCCAAATGTTTAGCCAGATGTTTTGAATATATGTGTCAGTGGACGAAGAAAATTTACGGGTGTTCATGTGGATATGCCCTAAACAAATCAGAAATGACAAGCTACATATCTTGTTCATTTGTTGTACATACTGATTGCCTCCCCCGGGTTCCAGGCGCAAGACGATACAATGGACCTCGCAGGTGACATGGACAATGAGCTCGACTACGGTGAGGAGGACGAGGAGGAGGAGGAGGAAGAGGAGGAGGAGCCGGCTCCTGCGCCGGCGAGGAAAGGAAAAAAGAAGAAGCGGGGGGCTAGGACCGGCGAGCCGCGTGTCAAGTGGACGTCCAAAGACCCGATCACTGGCACAAACCAGAGCGCCGACACTTACTGGGAGCGTATCAAGTCGGAGTTCGACGAGCGCAAGTTGGTCGGCCCCTACTTCACCACCATCCACATGAAGCGTGGCTCGAAGGTCATGGCGAACCATTGGGCGCTCATCCAAACGGCATGCAACAAATGTCATGGGATCGTCGAGGAGATCGCCGCTTACTCGGAAAGTGGCGCCAACGTCGAGGGCCGCGCCAACTTCCACGTCGACCCCCACGCCACCGCCAAGCCCGAGTGAGGATGCCTCCACGACGCCCAACACAGAAGCCGCGCCGACGCCGACCAGCCCGAGCACGCCGACTCCTATCAGTCCGATGCCGGAGTAGCACGATGCATTGCCTACACGTCCTTCCTTTTGAACGCCGAACTTTCGAGTATGATTAATCACCGAACCGTGGCATGGTGATCACCGAACTTTGTGCGTTGAACGTCGAACTTGTGACATCTTTTTGTGTAGCGGGAAATGGCATGTTTGAATTTACGCGTCTTGAGGCCGAATCTGAGGGCGTATGACTGGGAACTAGATCGCCCACAGGATCTAAAAAACGCCGGCCGAAGGGCCAAACCACAATCCCCGGTGTGTTTGGGGTCGAACGAATGGAGATGCTCTCACCGTTGCATATGCTCTAAACAGATCGGAAATGACAAGCTACATATCTTGTTCATTTGCTGTACATACTGATTGCTGCCCTCGTGGTAGTTGACACATTAAACAAGAGCAGTTCAATTCTTTGTATCATCATGTCAGACCTGACACAGTGGAGTAAAAGCTGGTCCGCAGTGTACCGCACATAATAAATTGAGGACGAATCAAAACCCATGTCACAGATTGGCAGCACATGCAGTAATCAACTTGTCCTAGCTTAGCTTTGTTTCATCATTGTTTATTTATTTATTTCCTGCTTAGCCATTTTTAGCTTCTCTTGGATAGCTGGAATCCCCGACAGGATTGTGTATGCTCTACCTCTGTATGTTGCTCTATTTATAAAATGAGACGAAAGTCTTTTTTTTAATCATTAGTCTCTTGTTTTTCTTCCCGTTTCTCAATGCACTAGCCCTTCTTGAGTGCCCACTATATCTGAGTACTTGTATGCTGCTTTCAGTCTTCCCATCTTGTGCGTTCCCTTCCCTTGGAGCCCATCGAAACTTGTGAGTGAGTGAGTGACTATTTGTGTTAGAACAGCCATTGCATCAATCAATCACGGTTCCACTGCCCCCATTTTTGCGAGACCAATCTGCATGGAGGGATGAGCAGAATCTGACGGTCTTGTCTTGTATTTACACATGCAGCAAGCAACTGTAGTTGAGGACGGACTAGCACTAGCAGTGTCTACAGCAATTGGGGTGTCGGCTGGCTGGGTGTTAATTTGCCCTTGGAACCACGGAGGTGAAAGTGAAACCATCAAAACACCACTGCCCGTGCCACGTGGTGCTGCTGCCATTAGCTAAGGTTGATTCCTTCGCGAAGCAGATCAAGAGAGGATGTTCATTTGCACCGCAAGTCGTCGAGAATTGCAGGCTCCGCCAGCGCTGCCCATGAGGTGGACGAACCCAGCGCGCTGCTGGACATCAAAGCTGGCCACACTGGCCGGCCCGCAAGCACACCGGCACGGTCGGTCATGCATGGACCAGGCATGGCACGGGGTAAACGTGCCGTGTCACGGCACGTCTGGGGTCGTGTCGTCTGGGCATGTAGGCTGGGCATGCGGGGAGGCACGGCATGGCTTGTTTATTTCTTTTATACCTTTTGGAATTATATATGCAGCCCAGCAT